ACATTAAAGTCGCGCGCGTGTGAGCTTGATGCAGCGACTTGTCCGATTACATTACACGATTAAATTAAAGCTTGCTCGCTAGTCAGCCATACTTTATGTGATGTATATGTGACAAGTTGTCATTGTTAATTAATTCGTTTTCTTTATATCTAAATTTTAAAATTTATAATGAGTGGAATTCTAATAACATTGTTGACTTTTTAAAAATTTACAGTATCCATTACTTTGGAACATAAAACATAAAGACTATTTGAACATAAATTAAAGATAAACATTTAAAGTTGTATGCAGACCTCGATAATGAAAGTTGGTAATGGAATAGACGAAAAGCAACTCAAGGCAAAATAAAATTTGGATGTTATAAAACGAGGCTTGCAAAATCGAAAAAGTAGAAAAGTGGAAGTGGAACAGATGAAATATATTCTCAAGACTTACGTGGTTCAAGTCTGCTAAGTTTTTGTGAAGTTTTATCTACAAGTCATGCATCAAATTTGGTAGTTTGAATATTATATAGTATAATAATATTGTTATATTTTATTATTTGTTGATAATTAATACCAATATTCAAGTTATGGAGAAATGTTTCCTATTAAAATTAGTATGATAGTGTAATGTGCAATGATAAATATTTCATAATGAGATAAAACTCACAATATAAATAAAATAATATTTTGTTGGTACTTTAATCGCCGGCGACTAGCGTGTAAAATCGCTCAGTGTAATCGAGCCATAATGGCTCGATAAAGTCGTAACAATAGAAGTCATAGTCAAACAAGTAGGTAGTTCATTTTCCTTCATAAAAATTCATTGTTTCAATCAAAATAATTATTTTATAAAAATGTATTATTCTATTTAATAATAATAAATCATAAATCATTAGAATATTAGATTAGAAATATATTTGTATCTTCTAATAAAACACGCTAACTTTGTTCATTGGTCATCACATTGTATTTATTTGTTTACAATATCTAATACAAATTATTTTATATCGTAAATAATTATTTCCTTATTACGTTATTATATATTTACTTTATATGTTCAGTGTTTTTATAATTTTTCATTTGTGTTTTTGTTTAGTGATGAAACTGTCTTGAATTTTTTACTTTTATAGTTGAACAGAACTTAACAAATTTAAAATACTAATTATTATACTGATGTGTTACTATGTAATCAACACTGATTGTCTAAATTCAATAATTATACTTTATAGTAAGAAAGTACCATAATACATTGATATATCAATAATAGATAGCCATTAAGGGAGACCAGGGCAAGAGCTCAGCAGACGGTTAGGGATATTCGAGACGCTCAGAGGCAGGTCGTAACACCACTCACACCATATTGTGCTTATAAAATTGTATTCTTGTACGAGTTAATTGTATTAAATAAAGACTTAATCTTTTAACTTGCAAACATTAGTATTTCTATTTCTACGTTGATATATGTATCGACGTTGACATAACGGACGCAACAGAAAAATTGGCGCAGTCGGTAGGATTGATTTCCAAGAAGAAGACAACTTAAAATATTTCTAAACATATTTTTGGTACCGTCAACTTCTATCAACAGAGGTAACTTCACTCACGTGAACCATCGTTGGATCGAGACGTCTTTTCAACAACTCTGGGGAAATCGAACACATTGTTGCAGTTCAAAACAACGGCGAGAAAATCAAGCTACGGAATGAATACAGCGATTTTGTAAGCATAAATTATATAACCGTCTCCTTTGGTCATTTTGTCCATCGTAATTAGGAAGGTCTTTTTTCCATTTTTATTTAATTTTTTTTTATTTTTATTATTTCATTTTTTTTTTATTATTTTTAGGAGTTAAATAAAGAGTTATATTGAGAGTTTTTTTTGAGATTATATTGAGATTATGAGATTATTTTGAGAATTATATTGAGAATTTATTGAAGAAAAAGAGTATTTTGTGTTTTATATTGAGAGTTTTTGAGATTATATTAAATGAAGATTATATTGAGATTATGAGATTATTTGTGAATTATATTGAGATTATTTTGGGATTATTATATTGAGATTTATTGAAGTAAAGAGAATTTTGTGTTTTATTGAATTATACTGAAGTAAAAGTATTTTTGTGTTTTATTGAGAATTTTGAATTATACTGAAGTAAAAAGTATTTTTGTGTTTTATTGAGAATTTGAATTATACTGAAGTGAAAAGTATTTTTGTGTTGAGAATTTTGAAAATTATATTTTTTTTGAAGAGTATATTGAGATTTTATTTTGATGAGAAATAAATATTTAAATTAATGAATACGGGTTCCCAGGGAGAGAACGCAGAAGTTATTGTTGACGAGTTTGAGGTACTCGCTAAAGAAACGTTAGATAAGATAATTGATATTTTAGAAAACGATAGTAAATTAGATATTAATTTAGGTGATAGTAATAGTGAATTAATTAATGACGAAGAAATAAATAGGTTAATCGAAGAGGATAAATTAGAATTAAATAAAATTAATAAACCAGTAGACGATATATTAAATAAAAGTTTAAGATTAATTAATTTAGACGAATTTCAAAATAACCCTACTACAATTACATGTAAGATAGGATTAAGAAGTAATAAAAATATTATTCATACCGAGTATATACCAGCTAAGCGAACTGTAAAAACTAAGAAAATGGCAACATCTAAAGTCCCCACATTAAAAGTCATTGACGCTTTACATATGATTTCCCAATATTCAGGACAAACCGAAATGTATCCGTTCATAAACGCATGCGAAACCATAATTGATTCAGTAGATCCCGACCAATTACCGTTACTATTAAAAATGATAACCGCGATTAAATTAACTGGTAGAGCTTTCAATGTTACTAGATATAAAGAAATTAAAGAATGGAACGACATTAAAAAATTATTATTAGACGCATTCGAATCACCTTATGGTGCCGCGAACTTACAAATTGAACTTAACATAATAAAATTTAAAAACGATGAAACGATTCAGGCATATAATAACCGCGTAGAAGAAATATTCCAAAAATTATGCGATGCAGTAGCCGTAGGTAAACCGTCGTCCGAAGCAATAATATTACGTGAGAATATTAAAGAACAAGCTATGGTTAGTTACATTAACGGGTTACCCAAGGAAATAAAATTTGAGGTGAAAACTAAAAATTCAAATTCTCTTGACCAAGCAATGCAAGTAGCATTAGTAGCCGATAAAAACATACGAACATATAATAATGTACAAGATATTTTTAGAGCAACCCATAATGAATACAATAAGCAACCAAATAAATATAACAATAATTATAACAGTAACCGTGGTCAAAATAATAATCAAAACACATCGTATCGTAACAATAACAGTTTCCGAGGTAGGAATAATAATCAAGTACAAAATTCTAGGAACAATAATTTTAATGTTAGGCGATGTTTTACGTGTAATCGCGAAGGACATTTTTCGTCACAATGTAGGATGAATAATCAAATGTATACGCGACCGCCAAGCGGTAACACTAATCAAAATTCATGCGACACCTGCACGTATTGTAATAAGACGGGGCATACAATCGCGGTATAGCACGGGTCACATTATGCTGGTTGCCAGCCGCGAGTTGAAGAAGCCGCTTCTGCCAGCCGTCGATCAGCTTGGTGTGACAACAAAATTCAGCGCTGGCGTCACCAGCCGGCGAGTATTTGTCAGCGGCTGACGAAGTTGGACATGTTTAACTTTTGGTAGCAGGCAGCGGCGAATAATCAATCACGTGACCGCTGGCACCAGCCGGCAGCGCAATCTGACCACTATTGCGTCTATCAGCAACGTGAAAGCACGTGTTTTTTTTGTGAAGTTGTTTTAGTTGTGACTTTTTTATAATTTTTAATTAATATAATTAAAGTTATTAATAATGTCTGAGTTAAAGTGGACTACAAAACAAATAATAACATTTTTAAACGTTTTTCAAAATTATCCTTGTTTGTGGGACGTTACGTCGAAAGACTATTTAAATAGAAATTTTAAAGAGGTGTCGTACAACAAACTATTAGACAACTTACACATGTTAGATTTGCCAGGATCACTTGATTCTTTGAAAAAAAAAATAAAAAGTTTACGTGATACCTACCGCAAGGAATTGCAAAAGGTTCAAAAATCAAAAAAAAGTGGTGCTGGTGCAAATGATGTATACAAGCCAAAGCTTGCATGGTTTTCTTCAGCTGAAGTATTCTGGCAACGATCTATCATAGAAAGAGAATCGTCTTCAAATTTGGTAAGTAAATAGATAAATAATAAAGAATCAATTACCTATCAATAAATAAATATTAAGAATAATATATTAATACCGAAATAATATTATAAATTGTATAATTACAAACCTTAAGAATGCCTCAAAGTTAATGTATCTATTAACTGTATGTCTGTATGTTGGCATGTATTTATTAAAGTTTCATATTTAACCTTACCAATTGATATTTATTATATATATATAATATTAATAATTATAGGGATTTTACATAAAATATTTTATAATAGTTCTTTTTTAAAAAACAAATATCAGAAATCGTTTGCGGCTAAATCGTTGTTTTACGTGATTTCGTAAAAGTTTAAATTTCAAACGCACGTAAATAAATATTAGTTTAGTGTGGTAGTTTTTTTTTACAGATGTTTGAAGAAAAACTTATGGAGAACTATGTATCAGTTTCAAACCTTAGGTATTTATACTTAAAATTAAATGCATTTTCAACTACAAAATAACTTAAAATGTTCGCGATTTTATCAATTTCGTAAAAATTTGATCCTTATACGCTTATAAAAAAAGTTGTGACATACGATTTTTGATTTTTTTTTTAATGGCTATAAGTAGAACTTATGATAAACGTTACATTACATTTTAAACAATTTTTGGCCAGCCAAATTATTTTTATAGACATTTAAAAAAAAAACCAATAAAAATAAAAAATGTCAACTGCCTATAAATAGCTCAAAAAAAAAGTCAATAATAATTTTATAAATGCTAGTTTCAGAAATGTATTATTTTATTATAATAAATAAGAAAACATGGGTCAATTAATGTTATACTTTGATGTATATTTGGTTATATTACCTTTTATTACATTATCTATAATATTGATGAAATAGTGAAATACATACACTTATACGATTTAAAAAAGTTATTCATTTTCGACTGTTAGTATTGGTTCTATACCAATTGACGTCATTTGCCATGGAACTGATAATTGTGTCATAAATTGATGCATGTACCACTGCCGAACCTCTTCTCCATCTCGACCATAATTATTTGAAGAATAGAGGCGGTCTATTGGGAGCATTAAGCTCGGCATGTTTCGCCACGCCCCTGGTGCTATAACCCCCGTGTTTAAGTCTTCATCGTCCACAGATCCTGAAGGAAAATATGTTCTGGGAGAAGTTTGTCGTAGCCAGTTGTGTAGAGAGCAAGCCGTTTTCACTAAAATTTCTACGGTATTCACATTTAGTGGTATAGGCGTGTTAAAAACACGAAACCTACTAGCCAAAATACCAAACGCATTTTCAACAACGCGCCTGGCCCTCGATAGTCGATAATTGAAGACTCTCTCTTCTACTGTTAGACCTCTGTGTGAAAAAGGTTTCAAACAGTATGTTGTTAGGCAAAAAGCATCATCTCCTACGCAAAGTCCTCCTCTTGGCCAATTGAGGAGGTTTTGTTCAAGTGCTATTTTTAAAGTTGAGTTCCTGAATACAGTGCTGTCATTGGCTCTACCATCTTGTCCAACATCTATATATCTAAAACAATAGTCTGCATCTACCATAGCAAATAACACAATACTATAGGTTCCCTTGTAGTTGAAAAACATTGATGTCGAATTAGGAGGGCGTTTAATTCGAATATGTTTCCCATCCAGAGCCCCACAGAGGTTAGGGAAATTCCATTTATACTCAAATCCTTTCTGGATCTCCTCCCACTGGATCGTTGTCTCTGGTACCTAAGAATAATTAAATAAAAAAATTATAAACTCTAATAAAATCTTAAATTTAAATGTTTACAAAATCGAGTAAAATAACGAATTATCCCCCATCGATTTAAAATTTTTGTAAAAATTCAAAAAGTATAAGTCGTGGAAACTAAACTGCTATGATAGTTACGAGATAGTATAAGATACTTTTTTTTCAGAATATAAAGCAATGTTCGATGTCTGAAGACGAACTAGACTCATCATCATGTATTGCTGATAATGAAAGTGACACTGAGCACACGTCTGAAGTATCACAAGTGTTAACGCCAGAGTCACAAAGTTTTGTTAAACCCTCAACATCTGCTTCTTGTAAACCTAAGTTATTAGGAAAGCGTCCGTCATTAGGAAAGTTACCACCGAAACGTATAAAATTAGGATCACCGTGCACTAAACAAATTCCGAATAGATTTGAAAATTCAATCAACAAATTACAAAAGATAGCAGAAATGACTACTGCAGACACAGAAGACCAATATGACAAATTTGGCAAACATCTTGCTTCTCAAATGCGAGAGCTCCCTTTGAAAAGTTTCATTATACTTCAAAGCAAGTTTCAAAACCTAATAACTGAAGAGAGACTCGCAAATTTATATGGAAATTACAATGAACCACAATCACAAAGTGGTGTCATAAGTCGTCCAAACAGCATTAGTCCAAC